GTATGAGCGTCGTCACGATGAGTAAGTCCGGCAAGCGAGTCTTCTCACCGACCTGCGACACAGCCCCCAGCTGTATATCCACCGGTCGATCCAGTGCAGCGGCTACCCCGGAAACATCAGAGAGAGCCGACGACTGGACCCCCGAAGTATCGGGCTGTCGCCGCAGATGCTCACCCGCCGAAAGAGATGCTTTAATCCGACACCGGCGCCCCAGCAGAGTGGCCGGGCGCGGCCCGCGCCAGCTGATCGGCACGTCCAGTGGGCGGCGTCCCGACACCGACCGCCAAGCGGCCGGCCGCGCCCTGTCCGCACCGGTCAGCCTGGTACCGGTGAGGCCCAAGGCACCGACCGCCGGCCGCCGGCAGCCGCAGGCGGGCTGCGCTCCCCGAGCGGCACGGGGCGTCCGGCCAGGTGGCCGCCGGAGCTGCTGATGACGGTGGTTTTGAGAAATGGGGGCACCTCGCTAGGACATCTTGCAATATGACGTTGTCGTCAACCCCTTTGACGTTTCCTCAATCTTGCAAAAGACGGTGCCCCGCCGTGTGAGAACTGTGTTCATACGCTTGGAGTGTTTTGCAGCAAACAGTTCCCGATAAAGATCCAATCTGGGGAGAGTCAGACGTGATTCAAGTTTAGCGGGTCTATGTTGCGGCTGTGGTTTGAAAGTTTGCTCGTTTGAATCGCTTGCTGTAGAATTTCTGATCTCAGATCAGTTGAAATGCTCGCATTGCGAATTTCTGATCTCAGAAATTTGCCCACCACTGTAATGTCGCCTGGAAGGCGGTGTACAGTATGGATGTCTGAGCTGGAGATGTGCAAGTCCGAAGACCTGAGGTTCAGCACTTCGAGAGTCATGTCCTGGATGTTCTCGCCTTGCTCCATTTTGCCAAGGCCGGCGCATATCATCATAAGTGTGTTTATGAGACGCTTATTGTCGATGCCTTCAATTTCATCATTCAACTGCTTGTTGGACATGGTGAGCGTTTCAATTTGTTTGCGCATGGCATCAATGTCAGTGTCTTATGCCATGACTTCCGTCTTAAGGATTTTGATCCGGTTATACTGGTGGGTGTTAGATCAGTTCAGGAACTCTGTTCACGGCTGACGCCGCCGTTTTCCAGCTGTTTGGCCCCTCGCAGGTGCCCAGAAGCTGCATTTACAAGACCGCTTTTCGCGGAGTCCTGCCGTGAAGCTGGGCATGTACGCTGCCGTGGGTCAAGGCCCAGTTACCACGCAGGAGTAGCTGCGCCTCAGGCAGCGCGCACCTGCCGACTGCCCGTCTTGACCTGTTCGAAACCACTAGCGACTTCGGCCGCTGCATATTAGGAGCTGGCACTGGCGCCGTCGAATGAACGCCCCATGATCGTCGCGCTCGGCCAGTATATGCAATTGGCCTGCAGTATGCAAATTTTACGACCCAACGAAGATGGCCTGATAGAACATGTGCACTCGGCCGCCGTACCTGAGCCGAATTTAAAGCAGTAAACCGATGGCTACCCGCTCGTACATCGCAGGTCAGTGGTGCTGCCACCGCCGGCCCGAGCCGTGTGGGCCGCGCCGAGCCGTATGCCGTGCCACCGCCGCCAGTCGCCCTTGGATGCCGGTGAAGTTTGGTGTCATTTATAACCCGTTGCCATTACACTTTTGAGCGTTAGCTGTTTCGTTATTGTAAGCTTATTGCTATGTTATCAGTTGGGTTCCTTGCCTAATTTGTTATGTAACGACGATCTCCGTAAGCGTTGTCATTGTTTTCATGTGGTTTCTGCTCTTGCATGTCATTGCGTTTACCCCTAGCCCTGCTCTGTGCGGTCGCTGAGAGTCACGATCCACGGCCTGGTGTCAGGTGGTCGTGATACGAGAGCCCGTAGAGCGCTCCTGATGTGACACACGGAGTAGTTCAGGGTTCAATCTTTGGGGTCCGCCCTCTTCCTCTTTTTTACCAAGGGTTTGACGCTACATATGATGTGTGGAAAGATCATTATGTACGCTGATGACTAAATATCTTTACGCTGATACGCTGATGTCTTTCCAACTAAACTAAACGGCTACTGATCGGCATTGTCCCATGCACGACACTATGGTGTGGGGGGGGGGCTGCAACGTGACACAGTAACGACGGGTGCAAAAGGTTTCGACCTTGGGCACCCGCACCGCATGCAATGCCACGTGCCGAGACCGAGTGACGCCCTCGCTGCGCGAAATAGGATGCCTCAAAAGTCGACGAACTTACCTCTGAACCTGATTAGTCTTGCGTAATATCCTCACAGCTGCCTACGCGCCGGAGATGCCACGATAGCGTGAAGTACGCCGCTATGACGCGTTCGCCGGTGCCACTCCAGCAACGGCCGTCGAGCTACTGCAGTTGCAACGTGTCCGCAATGAGTTTTGGCGTCGCTCCTTATTTCGCGCACCGAGCGAGTGGAATTGCTGCTTGCAGAGGTGCGGGCGACAGCGACCGCGAGCAACGCGATCTTAGGACATTTTTGATTCCCTATTTGTCAATGGGTAACACGCGTTGCCGTGAGTGGCCACGTTCATCTGCGTCATCTGTTTTATCTTCAGTGACTTTTGCACATACTGGTGTGAAAGATAGAAAATCCTCGCTGTGGAAGCTCCCAAATACATATCTATCGCTGCCGGGTCTAGAGGTCGGCCGGCGTGACGAACACCGGCGTACTGTCAGCGGCGTGTCTCGCAGCTGACTGATGCATGGCGAGCCATGAACATGACCCGCGATGCCGACCTGCGGAGCAAGGATTGCGTTCGGGAGTCGGGTCGCGCTCGACAGCTAACGGGTTTCTTTGCACGAGCGCATGCAGTTGACGCGTATGGATGTGCTGCGATGTGCGATGGTCTCGGAGTGTCGGGTCAGTCGTGCGTCCATCCAGGAGTCCTGCAACAGTCCTAGCTCTCAGAAATACGATAAAATCACCGTGCGAAGCTAGGGGCATAATTCACCATTTGTCCGCCCAAGACCGCACTAAAGTAGACCTAGAATCTGTCCGTAGATTGGCAGCAGGAAATGCGAATGTCGCCCTATAACCCATTGATGTACACCACAAATTTCTAGACCACTGTTGCAGATGGTCGCAACATACACAAAATAGAAGCCTTCTCCTTGAATTCAACATCACTTACGCGGGGCAACAGGGGATGGTGGCCCCGTTAGGAGGCACAGCGCAGCAGGCCACACCATGTTACACTGCCTGTCCCGCGACCCACCTGTGATTAGTCCGGAACTTGCTTCTGGTCTTACCGGCCGCCACCACCGCCACGCTTACGACCACGCAATGAAACGTGTTGAGTCTTCAGTAATTTGCATGAAAACTAAAAATGGTTGACGCAAGGCAATTAAAAATGGCGATCCACCCAAATTTACGTCGGGCCATGACATTGAGCCAGGACAAGTTATTAAATGAATGTGTATGCTTTCAAGTCGTAACTACGAAGAGGTCTCAAACGTGGCGGCATCGTCCCAAGACATCGAATGCAAAACGGGCCAGTAATTTTGGAATGGTCGGCCCGGCCAGGTCAGCGGGTCGGCCTGGCCAAGTCAACGGTTGCCCGGACATGTCAACGTGCTGCCTGGTCAGGTCAGCGGGTTGCCCGACCAGGTCAGCGTGCTGCCCGGTCGGGTCAGCGGGCTGCCCGGCCAGGTCAGCGGGGTGCCCGGCAGGTCAGCGGGCCGCCCGGCCACGTCAGTGGGTTGCCCGGCGGGTCAGCGGACCGTCCAGTCAGGTTGGCGAATCGCCCAGGTCAACGGGCTGGGTGTCAGCCCAGGCTTCGACACAGGTTACTATTCAAGCGCTGGCATGACCTCAAGCTAAGGATATAGAAGATCGCACATCGGTGGCTGCAGCAATTATACAGCGCCGCGAACGGGCCAATACCCGTCAACCGTGGCTAGGGATGGGTGATAGTGGTGCCCGCCCACCCAGTCCATGCAGAAAGATGCCTATTTTCCAATGCTTTTCCATCTTTCCCCTAGCTAAAAATGGCATCAAATGTACCAAAAGCACATCTTCAACCATGCTTGGTCACAAATCGGGCGCTGCGTTCGTAAACTTCTTGCGACATGACGCTATCACAAATAAGTAGCGTTGGCACGTCCGTGTGGAGAGCAAACATCCTCTATTGGTATCGAGATAGATTTGCACAGGTCGGTTGCACACGACCCATGGCACTCATGTCAGTTTCCTGCCGTCATACCGCATCCACATCTGCATAACACGTCCTGAAAAAACCTTACTGCCGCGGATGAACCTCATGAGCCCCATGAAACATACACATTTACACTAGAGTTTGGCGTGAAGACGCTACGCGCGGGTCAGGGCGAGCACGGCAGACGGTTCGTCTCAAGCAGGCAATCCCCGTCGCAAGGCCGGCTAATCAGCTGCACCGGCTGCGCCTGGCTGCAGCCGGCCGGCAAGCATGTGACATGGCTCAGAGCCGACAACACGCTCACACAGCGCTCCGCCAACACAAACCGGGGCGTAACACGGCGTCGGCTATAAAACATGGGAGCGATGCCGCGCCGCGCCGCTCCGCGACACTCAGTTCAGGCTCCAGCGCGGAGAGCACGCGCTGCCCTAATAATGGATGCGTAGCTAAGAAAATAAAATGTACAAAACACAGCGCAGTCTCGTGAGGCGGTTGGCAAGCGGCCACATGCTGGCGGGAGCTGGCGTCAGCGCGGGGCTGCGCCAGCCCACCAGGACAAGTCTTCAACAAAGAGCAGTCCAGCACTATCACAGTCCGGCTCCAGCTCAGAGCCAGAGCCAGCTACATGCTTGCCAGTTCCTGTGACGTCGGGCTGCCCATGGATGAGCGGCGTGGGCCCGCGGCCCACCAGTCGGCCCCCTCTGAGTAACACCGCCGGCGGCGGCGTTGGGCGCGGGCCGGTTGGCGTCGGCGCGCCTAGGTGGACAGCTGCTGCAGCGGCAGCGAGTGCGGTCGACCCGGCGCGGCGACGCTGCAGTCGCCGCCGCCCGCCACCACGCCGCCGCCGCCGCCGCCCTCCGCGTCCACGTTCACCGTCTTGGAGGGCAGCACGGGCTGCAACGGTACGGAGGATGACGGCGCGCGGCGGCGGTGGCCGGGCAGCGCCGCGCGGCAGCCGTCCTAGCCAGCCGCCACCGCCGCCGCCTCCGCCGCCGCCCAGCGCCAGCGCCGGCTGCCGCCGTCGGCCGCCGCGACCGTCTGCTCGCCGTCGCCGCCGCCGCCGCCGCGCACCGCGTCTGCACGATGGGGATGGGGCGGCACGGAGCGCAGGCGCCGGCGCGCCGGCCGGCTCGGCCGGCGGCAGCAGCGCCTGCCACTCGGCCGGCGACGACGCCGTTTGGCGCCGGGCGTGAGCCCGTGCTGCGGCCGCGCCGTCCGCTCCACCAGCGTGTTGCCGTCCAACCAGGTAGTCGGGGACTCTGCGCTGGCCAGGTTGCGCTCGATGCACGGGTTGCGGCCCTGGTGCGGCTGGATCTGAGAGGCGTACTGCGGCCCGGACAGCTGAGAGTTGCGCATCTGGCGGCGGGCGTGCACCGGGTCAGACGGGGTGAGGTGGACACCCTCCATCACACCACTCAGCTCGCACCGACACAACCCAGCCCCTGGAGCGGGCCGACTTCAGCAGCGCTACAGCATCACCCGCGTCAAAACTCCAATCTTAGTGCGACAAACGGCCTGCGTTGCATCCCCGCATCGCGTCAAACGACTCCAGGCATGCCGGTACATGTCACCCTCATTCACTGTGTTGAATCCCCCCCCCCCCAAAAAAAACCCACTCGAACACTGAACACCAAGGCTGAACACTGTGTTAGCAACCGCCTCGGCATCAGCTGTGCTTTGTATACAGCTCCAGAATAGTCCGGCCCGCAACACACACTGTCTCCCACCCCCCGCCTCCGCCTCCGCACTCCGCCTCCTCCCCCCTCCCCCCCCCCCCCCGGCAACGTTATCCCCACCCCAGCTGCGGGCACGGCCCCAGGCCAGCCGCGCGCACGGCGACGTACGGTTCATCTCCTGATCCGGCGACAGGGTGAGCAGCGTCTCGGCCGTGGCCTCCGACAGGTCGGTGTCGTGCGCGTCCGCGTTCGTCACGTTCACATCCGACTTGACCTTGTCCGGCTCCGGCTGCTGGCTCACCAGGTTCAGCGTCGGCAGCGGGTTTGTCATGCCCAGGTTACCTGTCCCGGAGCGGACATTCACGTCAGCGGCCGAGGATCACTGGCCGGATCACGCAGGCCATACCCATTCATGCATGGCGCGAGCACCCCACATCTACATATAATATATATATATATATATATTATATATATATATATATATATATATATATATCTATCTATCTATCTATCTATCTATCTCTATCTATCTATCTATCTATTATATCTATCTATATATCTATCTATATCTATCTATATATATATATATAATATATATATATATATCTCTCTCCTCTCTCTCCTCTCTCTCTCTCTCTCCTCTCTCTCTCTCTCTCTCTCTCTCTCTCTGTCCTGTCTGTCTTCGTCTGTCTGTCTCTCTGTCTGTCTTCTGTCTGTCTGTCTGTCTGTTCTGTCTGTCTGTCTGTCTGTCTGTCTGTCTGTCTGTCTGTCTGTCTGTCTGTCTGTCTGTCTGTCTGTCTGTCTGTCTGTCTGTCTGTCTGTCTGTCTGTCTGGTCTGTCTGTCTGTCTGGTCCTGTCTGTTGTCTGTTGTCTGTCTGTCTGTCTGTCTGTCTGTCTGTCTGTCTGTCTGTCTGTCTGTCTGTCTGTCTGTCTGTCTGTCTGTCTGTCTGTCTGTCTGTCTGTCTGTCTGTCTGTCTGTCTGTCTGTCTGTCTGTCTGTCTGTCTTTCTGATCTATCTATTGTCTATGTCTGTCTATCTATCTATCTATCTATCTATCTATCTATCTATCTATCTATCTATCTATCTATCTATCTATATCTATATCTATATCCATATATAGCTATAAAGCTTTATATATTACCTATATACATGTATCAGCAATATACGAGCGTCATAATATAATACACGAGTACAATACTGTGTGTTATTACGTCGTAACAGACGTGGGAAGCTCTCAGGATATTAGACAACGGTGAATCCTGGATACGGCTAATGATGGACATCTCCGTCAGCACTATCAGGCTTACACCCTGCAAACCCGAACAGTACAGCAGCACCTTGTGAGAGAGAACAAACGAGATATGACAGCTGAATTGCACGCTCCTGAAACGCAATTCCAAAAGCAAGTGTCTTTCCGGCGACAAAGGAGCACACGATCATGCATCTGCACACGGTTTGGCCAGCAAAGGATACTTACAGCGGCACCGCATATACTGGTGCGGTCTACAGCCTATTAAAACGGACCCTTTTTCTGCAGTCAGCGCAAACAACGACAATCAAGCGACGCTACGCACAAGCCGCAACCGAAGCTCACCCAGCACGCGGCGTTTCCTGCCGTGGCGTCGTTTCTCCACCGTAAAAGTACCAAGCCTTCACGCCCGCCCCGCCCTACATCCGAGATGGTCTGCGCGGCCGTCTCACCCTTGTAGCGCTCCCAGAGCAGCGGCAGCTCGGTGATTGCGCTCGAGCAATGCAGAGCGCAGTCAGGCGCGCCTCGCCGTCCTGTTCCGACAGCTGTCCTCGATGGTCTCGCGTAGCTGGCGCAGCGCCGGGTTCGTCTCCTTCCAGACGTCGGGGAAGAGCGGGCGGGCGCGATTGCGCGCCACCAGTACTGCATCTGGTCGAACGACGGGTGCGAGCCTGCCGGCACAAGGGAGAGCGGCTGTGAGCCTCAGCGCGGCTGTCCGAGCGGAGAACACTCATTATGCAAGAGGAGTCAAGGTGGTCGAAATCCAGCCGCGCCCGTGTGTATGGACAGCCGCCGACGCGGGGTCAGAAGCAATCAGACGGCAGGGCTGTGGACGCGGCAATACGGACAGCTGGGACAAACAGGTCGGGAGCAGGTGATCAGTTTCCATAGCAAAGCGTCCATCTCCCGCAGTTACGACACTCGGTCCCAAATGCGGGACCAGTCGGCCGGCTGGAGGCCGTGGCGACGTTTCCGTCATAAACAATGTGGTGCGGCCGACGCCACAAACGGCTGCGACGGACGACCCGTGGCGGAATCGGCGAGATCTGTGCCACCGCCAGCGGCGAACGCCCAGGAACAGGACGGCAGCCAAGGCTGAATACTCGTCCCTCCCTGTCCGCCGCAACAAGAACCAAGGCGAAGCGTGACATTAAAGCGCCAGGCGCGCGATCGGCGCGGGGTATGCAAGTGAGGTCATGGCCGAGCATTGTCTGCGGCGGCCGGCGTCAGTCTGCTGAGCGGCGATCATCAATACTGGGCAGGGCCACGGGCGGCGTGACCGGAGAACAACGACAAAACCGACGCATGGGCCGGAGACGAGGCGTGAGTCGGCAACTCTCCGGCTTCTTCCGACGTCGGCCGCGCCATCAATCCTTGTCCGCGCAAATCATATGCGTCGCGTGTTTTGGTATTCTGTTCCTGGCAGTTTGTGGCGATACCATACACCGCTTACGATAACATCATACAAACTCGCATTGATTCTTTTCGCTAGACTCAGTGTTTTGTTTTGTCCACTGTCAAAACGCCGTCAGCCCACATTCGGCGCTTCCTATCCTGCCAATGTTCTGGTTTGTTGAATTTTGTCGTGCCTCATGACTCATGATGCGGCGATACACTTGCGCATACGAACGAAAAATGCCGCGAATAACCGATCTTCAATATACCAGGAGTTAACGGTTGAACGCATACCAAGCGATCATAACATGTGAGAACACCCGTTTTCGTTTCAACCCAGTGCTCATGGTCACAAGTGTGACTCGCTTTTCACGGGTCAAACACGAAGACATAAAGACATTAAGAGATCTGGCCAACAAAGAGCCACAAAGACCCATCGAGGTTGGCCTATCTCAGGTTCTGTACACATCCTCGAAACTAATCCTACCACCTGCCCTGCATGAACTTCGCTATAAATGAGACCCTTAGACCGATAGAATTTGTCCAAACCGTTTTTGAACGTCGCTAGAAAGGGGCTTTCTACAACTCCGTTCATCAACCCATTCCAATGGTTCACTTCTTTTTGACTAAATGGCATCTGCCTCTTCATAGTTCTTCTCCCACGTTTGCTAAATGAAACTGGTTTCCTCTATGTTTCGGCCTAATTTCCAGGGCTCAATGTAGATCTACCGTGTCTGTCGCTTTCATAATATTGTATGCCTCTATCCGCCCCCCCCCCCAAGTCTACCATATTTCTGTGAATACAAATCCTAGGCGCTAAGCCTATTCTTATGTTCTAAGTCGCCAATCCCATTTATAATCCTGGTTGTTTTTTGCTGCACTCTTTCGAGTCGATCTACATCTTTTTGGAAGCATGGGACCAAGCGTGTGTACAAAACTCTTGGCGCGGTTTGACATTAACAAGTACAACCTTTTGACAATATTCCTACTCTTGTAATGGACATTCCTGTTAATAAGTCGCAGCATCCGAAGTGCCTTACTCCCAGCAACCCCACACTGTTTTTCGCCCTTTAGATCCCGAAATTATAACCCTTAAGTCCTCTTCCTCGATCTGGTCTAACTCTTGGCCTCCCATTTCATAGCTAATATCCTCACTGCTAAAATTATATAACTAAATCACCTAATACGCATCACAATTGAATGACATCTGGCACAGAGAAGCTCAGTTACAAGTTAATTTAAGTCAAGTTGAATTCGTTTCACCTAATCTTGTTTTTCGACAGTCCTATCAATTCAATATCGCCAGCAAATATTAGCACCTTACTCACTAATCCTATCTTAGCGCGATTCACAAAAGTAGTAAAGAGCAAAGAGCCCCATGCCCACCTCTGTGTAACCCGACTCTCTACTAGCGCCCAGTGATATTTTGTACCGTTTTTGTACCCTTCGTTTCCTTACAACATCCAAACCCTTAGCCGGCCAATAATTTTCACTGAATACCACGCCAATTTTAATTGATGTAGGAGACGTTAGCGTGGCACCTTATCAACCGTTTACTAAAATCGAGATCCACAACACCTAAGCTACTGCCTTCATCTATCTAACTTATAACATGCCCCGTTAACGCTAAGATATGCCAAACAGGACATACCAAAATATGCATATGATTCGGGCAAAACGTAGTTCAGGAATAAGAATGAAACGGTCCAGGATTGTTAAGCGGGGATTTCGCTGAGACGCGTTTCCGGCCAAATGAAGCGTGAAGAGCTCACGTTGGGAAATTGCTGTCAGACGCTGTCCCCGTTTGCTTCGCTTTTTCCGTCCCGCTGGTGCTCTTGTTTGTTTTGTTGCTTTTTAAGACGAAGTGAAAGCAAAACATGCAAATGTTCCGGCATATTCTTGGCACTTAATAGTCTACCGCGATCTTTGTTATCCTTATTTGTTATGCATGGCTCTAACTAATACGGCATATCAACACGAGACATGTTTTAACACATGATTATGCAACCCAGTCTAAATTCAGGCCATTTACGCATAGTTGCATAATACCCCAACATGAGAATAAATCGTCGGGGCCACACAAGCTGCATCTGAATTTGCCGTCACACGTAATTGTTCGCAAACCGCGCTACCTATCCATTATGTCTGCAGATTCTGAAGAAGTGCGCATTACGACGCTTAAGCGTAGAATAACGCCGTACACTTGAGGGCGATACGCTGCTGTGCACTTTCGTGCGGTGAAGTTCTGGGATAGATTTGCGTTGTAGGAAGCCTGGTGTGATACGCATGAATAGAATACCAGAACTTCGGGATGTGCCAGCTATCCCTCAACTTTAAATTGCTGTCACGATTTATTGGACGTTGGTTATATTAAATCAGAGGCCGCTGGTTGAAGATGTTAAGAGCTCTGAACATAACATCATGCGATGACCATTTTCCCTAACAAACCTTTGCAACAAACCCTCAGAAGATCACGAGATCGCAAATCTGTCACTTTTATTTTCGAATATCATGTTAAGCTAGCATGATAATAAAGAATATCAGGAGTATAACTCCGAAAACCTCGTACAAATTGACGCCACCCGATGTTCAGGCATATCCTCAGTGGTCAAAGGTATCCGGTAGTTTTCGCTCAAACTGTGCTTTCGCTTTGGCCCCTGCCACACTGCAGTCACATGTGACGTCATTGCCACCCAGCGCGGACCGCCAGACTTGACACCATCGCCGCAATTCGTGGAGCCGTCATATGTGACGTCACCGCCGTCATTTGTGGAGCCGCCTGATGTCATCCCAATTGCCAGTCGGCCGTCGGACCCGTGAACACCTTCAGATGTACGCCGGTGTGTACTACACCACCGATTAGGTGCAGCCGACAGCCGCTGGTCCTGCTCAGTGCAGGTGGGACGCCCGGTGAGGTGCTGCGACATGTCTGGCTGGCCCCAGTGTGGGGCCGTCGGGGGCCTCCGCCAAATCACTGCCGTGCAGGTCGTCCGTCAGCCCGTCCTTGTAGATCCGCTAACAGCCGGCACCGGAGAGTCTGGGTGCAAATGTCGGGGCCCCGGCAGGCTGACGGGCGAGGATAGGTCGCCGCTCGCGAAACGGATCAACCTATGACCACCGTTTTCAGCGTTGCGCCGCCGCTGACCAGGTCCGGCAGCACATCTCCGTGCTCGCCCTCTGTCGCTGTCCCGCCGGCAGACTGGTCGGCCCTGCCCTGCCTCCCCATGCTGCGTGCCCAAGTACCCACTAGAAGATAACATGCCGGGCTAGGTCGCCGGTCTAGCACGCTGTCGGTCTTGTCAGATGACACGAGCGATTGTACGTTGGCATGACCGATACGTAGCCGTTTGCTGGCTTGTGATGCACTCAAGCCGTCAGCAGGTAGACGAGACGGGCACGAGCAGTGCCTTAGACTTGCCGACTTTGGGTGTAAAGCAACACCCTATGAGGAGGAATTTTTAACTCCTTTTCCCCATGTTTTATGTGAATTTTCACGCCTGCCTGACACTGTCTAATCGCACATGCCAAACCCCTATTTCCCTTTCTGAGGATTTCAGATGTTATCCAACACCGAGCTCACTTGATATCACCAAGCACAAACGAGGCTCCACAGAACCTGGACACCTCTGGCTATGCCTTACCTCACCTACATCTGAATCATGTCTATGTATGTACAGAGCACAGGCGCCAGGTACCTTCAAGCCCAGGAACCCCAGCGACTCCAGCCGCTTGCACGCATTAAGTTTGGTTTGTTTACAAAATGTATCACAATCGGCAGCTGTGTGCCAAATGCAAGGTTTTCATGCATCCTCTGTTTTTTTGGTCTCACCACCACACCTCGAAAGCGGAGCCTGTTGCAAACACTAGCGAGGCCTAATAGAGAATTTTACTCCACGTACTTCTTTTTTCTCGAGGAAACTTGATCACTAAATTGCATCACTCTCGAAGTGCAGGAGTGAAAAATTTAAGAAATGTCTTCTAAATTAAATTTGCAAGATGAATATCACCATTTGAGCACTTGCGTTAACAGGCTATAAGTCAAATCACCTGATTAAAACATTTCCAGAAAAGTATCAGTTTTTATATCTATTCAGCTACTTTTGTTGTTCTTGGCACTATACGAGTGTGATACCACTTTATTCTTCCTTCCTTTTTCATTGCCTTTATAGGTACCATCTGTCGCTTAAAATGTTGACCAATTTCTCTGCAAGATGCTCCAACTTCAAACTCGTACGTATTTCATACATAAATTGGATTAATTCGCCAGCCGCCCAAACATGTTTGATATGCACCCAAGAGTGAACAATTCACAGGGAATGAAGGAGACAATTTGAAGCACGGAACTTACTTTTAACGACATTTTTGCCCTGTTAAACCCTTGGTAAACAGTCTTCTTGGTTCATGGCGGTGCTCAATAATGATAAATCTAAGCCTTTCGGGTGTCCAACTCGCCAGGCTGCCTGACAAGGCTATCCAAATGCTGCTATACAGAGCTTTGGGACAGACCTGACGCAGCTAATACCGAAGTGTTTGATGGCGAAATTCTGCCCTCTGGAGATGTTTACCAAGCACACCTCTTACTTGTTTCGCATCTTAATCTCGTAGGTTGGCGGGCATGATTGATATTGGGGGTGAGTGGGATGACTCTGTCTGCCAGCAGACCATGCAAAAGGTACTGACTTTTTGTTTTGGGGGAGCAGGAAGAAGCCAATAAGTCTCCTGTGGACCAAGTAATTGCTTACCTTACATGCTTTCAACACATGATTAGTAGCCAGAGTTATCCATTTTCTGTTTTAATCCATCCAGTTTTGTCATAAGACAAATTATGATGTCACAAGGCATGCAAAGGGCTTATTTTGTTCCATATTCTTTATTGTTTGCCCCAAATGTCTTAAAGTGTACCCTCGTGGCTCCTTCAACCAGATGTTCTCTAAAGTTGTCATGGTTTGCTGACTGGCAAATGAGTGTATTGTATAAAGGCACTATCTTTTTAACACAGGGATACTCTAAGCTGCATGGTAATTATAACATGAGCTAAATATTAATATGTAACAAATAGTCAGACCAACCCATTTAAAATGTGAAGCCAACATCTCAAACTTTGTCATTAAATATGAATGAACAAGCCTAAATAGACGTCTGCTGCAGCTGAAAAGGCCAGCAGCAATACTGGCATGGTCATCTAAAAGTTATGTTACTTTTCGAGAAGAGAGATTGTTTTGTGGAGCATACCCATTACTGCCCTTGTCATATGTCAACTTTTCCTGATGTCAACAAGCATACACAAAGGAACTGAATAAGAATGCAAGTTGAAACCAGCCAAAAATTTGCTTTATCATGTTGTATTACAAGTGCTGCTGTCAACGGATAGGTGAGTTGAGATGATGTTCAATATATGGGCTACTCTAAGTTACATTAAGTTGGTTAAGTGCATGGCAAGTGGCAATAGGAATTGTGCAAGAATCAGTAACTCACAACTGCTGCTGTGACACAAACAGGTTAGACAGGATGAGACGAAGTAAGGCCTCTTTAGGTTAGGCATAGTTAGGCTACTTTCATGGAAATAAACATTGGTGTTTTGCAAGAAACAGTGACAAAATGTTTGTTTTCCCTGACCCCATCTTAACAGAATCCAGACGTATGTCTATTATGTTTGCCTTGGTGATGGGCTGATGTGCAGGAGTCCAAGGTTTTTTTGTTTGAGTGTTTTATGCTTGCTGAATTTTCTGTCGTTATTTTGTTATTGAATTCCTTTGCTTTGTTTCGCGTTAAAAGTGCTGTGGAAGGTAAGAACAAAGTGCGGCATCAAATTATTGGTGTTAATAATTTTTATGCTCATCACACTGTCATAAACTTACGATGCTTTAATGTATTCTGTTTCACCGTAATGGCCTAAGATGTTAAAAAACAAAACAGTTTTGTCAGGTTTCTGATATTATGTCCATGCCAACTTGAAACAGATGTCTTTGTTTGCTAGAACACCAGTCACGAGATCATAAGTTTCATCTTTTGTGAATTGGTTTGTTCACTCCTGCGCGGTCTTTTTGGGACGGAATTTTTCACTCCCACCCTAGTTCAAAAGCGATTCTAGCTCCCTGGTTGCTGTACCGAGCCATGAGCCGACCGGTCTGCACCTCAACCCCTGACATGTTCGTACCGCACCACTCGGCCGCAGTGGAGCCGCGGAGCCGCGCGCCCCTGCGCCACTCACCGATCTCGGCCTCGAACGGCAGCCGGTACTGCGGCACGTCCAGGCCCTGGTAGAGGTCGGCGCAGCGCGTAGCCATCTCCCAGAGCACCAGCGCCATGGCGTACATGTCCACCTGCTTGAGCGAGGTCTCGCAATCGCGCAGGTTCAGCGCCCCCTCCAGCACTTCGGGCGCCATGTACCGCAGCGTGCCCACCTGGAGAAAGGGCACAGACGGTATGTCAGCGTGGGTACGACTGACACCGAGGAACACAGAGGTCTCGACAAGGACACGGCTGATAACTGCGTCCACGCAGTGTGATCACGGAACACAAACCACATAGCAACATGGATACATATGGACACATGGTCCTAACGGCCCTACGTGAGTCAACCGGGGGGGGGGGGGGGGGGTCAGTACTCATGTCTGTCAGCTGGGGTCAGAGCTCAGTCTGCCAGCCGGAGCCAGTACTCACGTCTGTCAGCCGGGGTCAGTTCTCACGTCTGTCAGCCGGGGTCAGTTCTCACGTCTGTCAGCCGAGGTCAGTGCTCACGTCTGTCAGCCGGTGTCAGTTCTCACGTCTGTCGGCCGAGGTCAGTACTCACGTCTGTCAGCCGAGGTCAGTGCTCACGTCTGTCAGCCGGGGTCAGTTCTCACGTCTGTCAGCCGAGGTCAGTGCTCACGTCTGTCGGCCGGTGTCAGTTCTCACGTCTGCCAGCCGGAGCCAGTACTCACGTCTGTCAGCCGGGGTCAGTACTCACGTCTGTCAGCCGGGGTCAGTTCTCACGTCTGTCGGCCGGGGTCAGTACTCACGTCTGTCAGCCGAGGTCAGTGCTCACGTCTGTCAGCCGGGGTCAGTTCTCACGTCTGCCAGCCGGAGCCAGTACTCACGTCGCCAGCCGGGGTCAGTACTCACGTCTGTCAGCCGGGGTCAGTACTCACGTCTGTCAGCCGAGGTCAGTGCTCACGTCTGTCAGCCGAGGTCAGTGCTCACGTCTGTCAGCCGGGGTCAGTTCTCACGTCTGCCAGCCGGAGCCAGTACTCACGTCGCCAGCCGGGGTCAGTACTCACGTCTGTCAGCCGAGGTCAGTGCTCACGTCTGTCAGCCGGGGTCAGTTCTCACGTCTGTCAGCCGGGGTCAGTTCTCACGTCTGTCAGTCAGCGTCAGTACTCACGTCTGTCAGCGAGGTAGTTTCGGCGTTCTGTTCCTCGCCGTTGGTGAAGTACCGTCCGCCGCTGATCTTCATGGCGAAGCCGAGGTCGCAGATGCAGCAGGAGCCGTCGGCTCGCACCAGGATGTTGCGGCTGTTGACGTCCCTGTGCGCCACGGCCGGCTTGACGAGGCCTGCGGCGGCGGCGGCGACCGCTCCGTCACACGGGTCACGGGCGCGGCATCGCGCTCAGTCACAGACACGCCGGCATCCGCTGCTGGCAGAGCACAGCGATACGACAAACGCCGGTCACGCTGAGATGCGGCAGCCGGTCACCAAATACACGGCCACGGCACAGGAAAGGAACAGCAGTTACACAGCCACAGCAGCGACAGAAGCTCAGGTGTTCCACCTGCTCCGTCACAGCACAAGAAAACAGTTCACGATCCGTCGGGGCTAGTAAGTCAGTTATTGAGTTTAAAGGGCGCGTCAACTGTATTAGTTAGTTGCGCCCATGTCTTATTGTTAAGAACCTATGTCAACACAACTATAATCAGAACTATGTCAGCAGACTGTCATCAATGTCTTAGTCACTCAGGTTATTGCACCGCCAATGACCACATGGGTGGCGTGCGCCGTAATAGTGCTGACAAGAAAATAATAGTACACCCAGCCAGGTGGCAAGCAACACAACACGGCATAGACGCATTGTTACGGTGCTAGGAAGTGCGAAGGCGAAAACGCTCATCCCTGACCCCTATGGGTGTGTGGAGGCGGGGGGAGATATCTGTATCACACGCGCATGCGCACAGCGCGCTGGCGAGCGTGCCTGGTGACGGTTATCTCCTGTCTTCGATTGACACCCAGAAGTGATCACCTCAGCCCTCCGATGCCGAGCCAGTCTCACCTCTCCGCTCGATGCGTACGCGCAGGTGAGCGCGCTGTGAGAAGCCCCAGTCTCACACCAGCGCTCGGTGGCGTGTGCAGGTGAGCGCGCTGTGAGAGGCCCCAGTCTCACCTCCGCGCTCGATGTGCACGTGCAGGTGAGCGCGCTGTACGAGACCCCAGTCTCACCTCTGCGCTCGATGGGCGTGTGCAGGTGAGCGCGCACGAGACCCCAGTCTCACCTCTGCGCTCGATGGGCGTGTGCAGGTGAGCGCGCTACAGACCCCAGTCTCACACCTGCGCTCGATGGCGTGTGCAGGTGAGCGCGCTGTACGAGACCCCAGTCTCACCTCTGCGCTCGATGGGCGTGTGCATGATGCGCGTACAGACCCCAGTCTCACCTCTGCGCTCGATGGGCGTGTGCAGGTGAGGCGCACAAGAGGCCCCAGTCTCACCCCGCGCTCGATGGCGTGTGCAGGTGAGCGCGCTGTACGAGACCCCAGTCTCACCTCTGCGCTCGATGGGCGTGTGCAGGTGAAGCGCCACAGACCCCAGTCTCACCTCTGCGCTCGATGGGCGTGTGCAGGTGAGTGCGCTGTACGAGACCCCAGTCTCACCTCTGCGCTCGATGGGCGTGTGCAGGTGAGGCGCACAAGACCCCAGTCTCACCCTGCGCTCGATGGTGTGCAGGTGAGGCGCTGTACGAGACCCCAGTCTCACCTCTGCGCTCGATGGGCGTGTGCAGGTGAGGACACAAGAGGCCCCAGTCTCACCTCTGCGCTCGATGGGCGTGTGCAGGTGAGTGCGCTGTACGAGACCCCAGTCTCACCTCTGCGCTCGATGGGCGTGTGCAGGTGAGCGCGCTGTACGAGACCCCAGTCTCACCTCTGCGCCGATGGGCGTGTGCAGGTGAGTGCGCTGTACGAGACCCCAGTCTCACCTCTGCGCTCGATGGGCGTGTGCAGGTGAGGCGCTGTACGAGACCCCAGTCTCACCTCTGCGCTCGATGGGCGTGTGCAGGTGAGGCGACACAGAGGCCCCAGTCTCACCTCTGCGCTCGATGGGCGTGTGCAGGTGAGGCGCACGAGACCCCAGTCTCACCTCTGCGCTCGATGGGCGTGTGCAGGTGAGGCGCCACAAGAGGCCCCAGTCTCACCTCTGCGCTCGATGGGCGTGTGCAGGTGAGGCGCACGAGGCCCCAGTCTCACCTCTGCGCTCGATGGGCGTGTGCAGGTGAGGCGCACAAGAGGCCCCAGTCTCACCTCTGCGCTCGATGGGCGTGTGCAGGTGAGTGCGCTGTACGAGACCCCAGTCTCACCTCTGCGCTCGATGGGCGTGTGCAGGTGAGCGCGCTGTACGAGACCCCAGTCTCACCTCTGCGCTCGATGGGCGTGTGCAGGTGAGGTGACACGAGACCCAGTCTCACCTCTGCGCTCGATGGGCGTGTGCAGGTGAGGCGCCACAGGCCCCAGTCTCACCTCTGCGCTCGATGGGCGTGTGCAGGTGAGTGCGCTGTACGAGACCCCAGTCTCACCTCTGCGCTCGATGGGCGTGTGCAGGTGAGGCGCACAAGAGGCCCCAGTCTCACCTCTGCGCTCGATGGCGTGTGCAGGTGAGGCGCGTACGAGACCCCCAGTCTCACCTCTGCGCTCGATGGGCGTGTGCAGGTGAGGCGCACAAGAGGCCCCAGTCTCACCTCTGCGCTCGATGGGCGTGTGCAGGTGAGCGCGCACGAGACCCCAGTCTCACCTCTGCGCTCGATGGGCGTGTGCAGGTGAGTGCGCTGTACGAGACCCCAGTCTCACCTCTGCGCTCGATGGGCGTGTGCAGGTGAGGCGCACGAGACCCCAGTCTCACCTCTGCGCTCGATGGGCGTGTGCAGGTGAGGCGCACAAGAGACCCCAGTCTCACCTCTGCGCTCGATGGGCGTGTGCAGGTGAGTGCGCTGTACGAGACCCCAGTCTCACCTCTGCGCTCGATGGGCGTGTGCAGGTGAGGCGACACAAGAGACCCCGTCTCACCTCTGCGCTCGATGGGCGTGTGCAGGTGAGTGCGCTGTACGAGACCCCAGTCTCACCTCTGCGCTCGATGGGCGTGTGCAGGTGAGGCGACACAGACCCCAGTCTCACCTCTGCGCTCGATGGGCGTGTGCAGGTGAGTGCGCTGTACGAGAGACCCCAGTCTCACCTCTGCGCTCGATGGGCGTGTGCAGGTGAGGCGACACAGAACCCCAGTCTCACCTCTGCGCTCGATGGGCGTGTGCAGGTGAGGCGCACAAGAGGCCCCAGTCTCACCTCTGCGCTCGATGGGCGTGTGCAGGTGAGTGCGCTGACGAGACCCCAGTCTCACCTCTGCGCTCGATGGGCGTGTGCAGGTGAGGCGCCACAAGAGGCCCCAGTCTCACCTCTGCGCTCGATGGGCGTGTGCAGGTGGGCGCGCACGAGACCCCAGTCTCACCTCTGCGCTCGATGGGCGTGTGCAGGTGAGGCGCTGTACGAGACCCCAGTCTTACTCTGCGCTCGATGGGCGTGTGCAGGTGAGGCGACACAAGAGACCCCAGTCTCACCTCTGCGCTCGATGGGCGTGTGCAGGTGAGGCGACACAAGAGCCCCAGTCTCACCTCTGCGCTCGATGGGCGTGTGCAGGTGAGCGCTGTACGAGACCCCAGTCTCACCTCTGCGCTCGATGGGCGTGTGCAGGTGAGGCGCACAAGAGACCCCAGTCTCACCTCTGCGCTCGATGGGCGTGTGCAGGTGAGTGCGCTGTACGAGACCCCAGTCTCACCTCTGCGCTCGATGGGCGTGTGCAGGTGAGGCGCACAAGAGGCCCCAGTCTCACCTCTGCGCTCGATGGGCGTGTGCAGGTGAGGCGCACGAGACCCCAGTCTCACCTCTGCGCTCGATGGGCGTGTGCAGGTGAGGCGACCACAAGAGGCCCCAGTCTCACCTCTGCGCTCGATGGGCGTGTGCAGGTGAGCGCTGTACGAAGACCCCAGTCTCACCTCTGCGCTCGATGGGCGTGTGCAGGTGAGCGCTGTACGAGACCCCAGTCTCACCTCTGCGCTCGATGGGCGTGTGCAGGTGAGGCGCCACAAGAGGCCCCAGTCTCACCTCTGCGCTCGATGGGCGTGTGCAGGTGAGGCGCACAGAGGCCCCAGTCTCACCTCTGCGCTCGATGGGCGTGTGCAGGTGAGGCGACACAAGAGGCCCCAGTCTCACCTCTGCGCTCGATGGGCGTGTGCAGGTGAGGCGCCACAAGAGGCCCCAGTCTCACCTCTGCGCTCGATGGGCGTGTGCAGGTGAGGCGCCACAAGAGGCCCCAGTCTCACCTCTGCGCTCGATGGGCGTGTGCAGGTGAGGCGCCACAAGAGGCCCCAGTCTCACCTCTGCGCTCGATGGGCGTGTGCAGGTGAGGCGCCACAAGAGGCCCCAGTCTCACCTCTGCGCTCGATGGGCGTGTGCAGGTGAGGCGCCACAAGAGGCCCCAGTCTCACCTCTGCGCTCGATGGGCGTGTGCAGGTGCGCCAGCCCGCTGACGGCCGTCATGGCCATGCGGCACATCTGCTGGAACTGCAGCGTGTTCTGGCAGAGGAAGTCGTGCACGGTGCCCTGCGGCACGTGCGACAGCACCAGCAGGTACTCGGTGCCCGCCTCGGTCACGCGCTCGTCGGCGCCGTACAGGTGCGCCAGGCTCGGGTGGTCCATCCAGGGCAGCGAGTAGATGTCGCGCTCCGACATGAAGTAGTGCCGGTACCAGGCCGGAAGATCTTGACGGCCACGTCCTCGCCGTACAGCAGGCCTTTGCGAACGGAGCCGTAGCGACCGCGGCCTGGGGGCGCCGACAAGCCTTTAGGAGCCGCGAATCGCACGCCCGCGGCGTGCACGGACAGACACGCACATGCACCCAACCTCTCCTTTGAAATTGATCTGATGAGTGAAGCCTACGGCCTGTTACCACGTGGTATCAACGATACCTGAGAGATATTCCAACAGGTTTCCAACATGATTCACAAGCGCATTTATCGGACAACGAAATGTGACGTGATGTATAATCTGGACGGGTGCACAGAACTGCCTGACTCGCAAAATTTACACACCCGGGAAAGCTCAGGGAAAGTTGATGTATGCAAACACCTCTCAAGCGCACAGAGAATCCCACAAGGCCGATGCCGGAGCCCGCTGGGCAGCGGCAGCGACGGCCGCGGTCCGCCGCCTGTGGCGCCCCCTCACCGATCACGTCGACCAGCTGCAGCTCGGCCAGGTCGACGGTGGGCGTGAAGGGGGCCGGCTCGGCGGCGGCCGGCGGCGGGTGCGGCGAGCGACGGTACCAGCCGCGGCAGCGCCACAGCACGGCGCCCAGCACCAGCAGCACGCACACCAGGGAGCCGCACACCACCGCCACCGTGCTGGGCGTGCCCAGCGCTGGCGAAACACAACGGCGGGCGTCACAGGACGGGGGTCACCACGTCACACCAGGGAGCCGGACACCAACGCCACCGTGCTGGGCGTGTCCAGTGTTGGCGACACACACCGGCGGGCGTCACCGGACGCAGGTTTCCACACCACAGACTGGATACTCATGGAATGAGGCAGGCATAACGACCACACCATTACGAGTAGGGCGTGGTCGAGGTACGGGGATTGGTTCTAGATGATCCCAGAACAGCAAAGGGCCGTAAATATCTAAAGAGATAGGTGGTAGAACCAAGGGCGACAGAATAGGAGGCGGTAGTGCCGCCCGAGAGTCTACAACGAAGTGTGATGGTTTAGCCCCCGAATTCCAGGGTGCATGGCTTCAAGTAGAATATAGGGGAGGACAGACTAGGTTCATGAAGGGGAGGTGGTATGACCACAGGTCCCCCTTAAAAAATGGAGCGATGAATGACACGGGTGCTGATGTAGGGGCGGTGGGAGGGATACAATTCATAGAACAGCGAAGTGGTGTAGGACTTAAATGCGGCAAAAACCAGACGTGATGGGAAAACATGCTCGAGAGTTGACCGGGCGATGGAGAGAGAACCAGCCACAGGATGAGGGGAGATTGGAGTAACCACATGGCCCACAACGCAGCAGTATGGTCCGCCTCCAGGTCTCGGGTCCCTCTGTCGGGTGTGACTTGAGGGAGTGCCATGTGACAGCCGCTGAGAGGCCGGGTCGGCAGACGTGAGAGACCCCTGTGTCCCCCTGCCGGGCGTGACCTAAGGAGTGCCATGTGACAGCTGCTGAGAGGCCGGGTCGGCAGACATGAGAGACCCCTGTGTCCTCCTGTCGGGGTGACCTAGGGAGTGCCGAGTGACAGCCGCTGAGAGGCCGGGTCGGCAGACATGAGAGACCCCTGTGTCCTCCTGTCGGGTGTGACCTAAGGGAGTGCCGAGTGACAGCCGCTGAGAGGCCGGGTCGGCAGACATGAGAGACCCCTGTGTCCTCCTGTCGGGTGTGACCTAAGGGAGTGCCATGTGACAGCCGCTGAGAGGCCGGGTCGGCAGACATGAGAGACCCCTGTGTCCTCCTGTCGGGTGTGACCTAAGGGAGTGCCATGTGACAGCCGCTGAGAGGCCGGGTCGGCAGACATGAGAGACCCCTGTGTCCTCCTGTCGGGGTGACCTAAGGGAGTGCCATGTGACAGCCGCTGAGAGGCCGGGCGGCAGACATGAGAGACCCCTGTGTCCTCCTGTCGGGTGACCTAAGGGAGTGCCATGTGACAGCCGCTGAGAGGCCGGGTCGGCAGACATGAGAGACCCCTGTGTCCTCCTGTCGGGTGTGACCTAAGGGAGTGCCATGTGACAGCCGCTGAGAGCCCCGGGCCGGCAGACATGAGAGACCCTGTGTCCCCCTGCGGGTGTGCTAGGGAGTGCCAGTGACAGCCGCTGAGAGCCGGCCGGCAGACATGAGAGACCCTGTGTCCTCCTGTCGGGTGTGACCTAAGGGAGTGCCGAGTGACAGCCGCTGAGAGCCGGGCGGCAGATGTGAGAGGCCTGTGTCCCCTGTCGGGCGTGCTTGAGGGAGTGCCAGTGTACAGCCGCTGAGAGCCCCGAGC